ACTGGCTTATGCTCAAAATCATCAAGTTGACAAAGTTTTCTCCATGTCCTTTGAATGTCATAAACTTTCAAACCAAAGTATCCATAGTGTGAAGAATATAAAAATAGATACTTCAGGATAGGACCAAGAAATAGGTAGTTTCAGCATGTCTTAAAATGTGGCATTTGTATCTCTTAATTTCTCCTACTAGGCTAAAAATAAACATCTAAAACCTTACTCTACAATCAGTTATATTTGTTACAGCATAATCTCATACGAGTATGATAGTTATAATATCTGAATTTGCTTTTAAATCATTCATCATCAGTATTACAAGAAAACCATTAAATTAAAATATGTAAAACTGTGGGTATTAAATTTATTTTGACTAGACATTATCTTATTACAAAATAGTATAAAAGTAGTTACATTAAAATGTAATGCTACATTCTTAAAAAAATTCATATTTTGAACTCTATTAAGACTATAACAGCTTAGTACATCATAATTATAAGTCACCTCCCAAATTTTTAAAGGAGTGAACTATTAGTAATAATACTAGAAAAGCAAACTTCCTTTCTTTAGGGGTTCTCCTAAATATTGAAATTGAAAACAACACATTTCACTGTAGGAATATTTAACTACCTTCTTAATTTAAGTCACTTCATAATACAGGAAATGAAAAGACTAAATAAGTAGCTGTGACAGACAATGCATTAAGAACATGGACTCTGAAGTCACACAGCCTGGAATCAAATGATGGCTTTACCACCAACTGTGTTACTTCAGGAAAATTTCTTCATATTCCCTGTACCTCACTTTCATCATCTGCAAAATGAAGATAATAATGGTACCCAACTCAAAGGGTCTTAGGAGTGTATGAGGCAATATATGTAAAATGCTCATCTGAGTGGCAGACATATAGTAAATTCTTAATAAATGGTAGCTACTACTACCCTTGTTATTAGCTCCAAATTTACTGATGACAACTATCATTAAATATTTTTATAAAATTTAAGAAAAAAATGCTATTCCACAGGATTTATAATTGTTAAAACATTTATGGCACATTAGTGATATGCTAGTTACTATGTTAGAACTATGGCATTATAAATACTATAGGCTTTTAGTCAATGAGCAAGTTATATAACAAAATTTTATAGGAATCTAAAGGTACATGTTGCCCTGAACTCTGGGGTAACATATACCACAATGTAAACAAATAAGGTTATCAACAATGACAATATAGGTAATCATTAATGAATATGCACTGTATAATAAAATCTTGTCAAAGGTAGAAATTACATTTCGGTTTAACTCAAGTTCTTCTAGAGGTTTAATCAACTACTTAGGAAGCAGAAAGGATTGGAAAAAGAGCATGGTAATCTGAGTCTGATTCCTGGGTTTCAAAGCCCAGTTCAACCTGCACTTAACAGGTGCTCAATAAAGATTTGTCTTGCCCAAGACACTATGACTAAAAAGCACTCCAGAGTTAATACTGGCTGAGAGGAGATAATGCCACCTAGTGAAAAATTAGGCTATGAGCTAATGCTGAGAGCTTCCCAAATTAGACTTGACCTTACTTAAAATACTATTAATACATGCATATTCATATGTGTCAGTATTCAGGCTAGGTACTGATAAGAAAAACAAGCCTCTACCTTTGCTTCCTATAAAGTATGGAAAATATAAAGAAAGCACACACTCTACAAGAGAAGCATAGAGAAAATGATATTGTAAGGAAAAAAAGGTTTGATTATTAGACACTCAAAAGCTAGTATTTCAACAAATCTGCTGAAGAAGCAATATAGTGTAGCAAATAAGAGCTTGGACGCTGAGACCAGACTGTATTGGTTCCTATAAAATGGGATTAATAATAACCCCTATGTCACAAGATTATTGTGAAACCTTAAATAAATATATGTAAGGGGCTTTAAAAAGCACCAGGAACATAGACAGTGCCATGTATTAACTATAATTATTAACTGTAGAACAGCATCCTAGAGACTGATGTACAAAAATATTGATTTATTACAAAACATTAAGTGCTAAAGTCTAGCTTCATAAATTTAATTCAGTAGAATCCGTTTCTCTTACTAGTACGCTGTTATTATGGGAATCCTAAAAGTACATTATTTGTGGTACTCTGTGACTAAATTTTGTATTACTAGATGATTAACCCTTTCAACATCAGGCAAATAAAACTGCCTTCTGAAAGTAAAAATTATATTTCTTACCAAAAAAAGCATAAAGTCAGTAGAATGAAAGACCCAAAAGACCACAACCTGAACATATGCTTAACCGGGAAAGATGCTTGCTGTCTCTTCACAGATTTTGCTACAACTGAAAGATGGATGATACATTTAGCTACCACTGTGGTCTCATTTGCAGCTTATTTAACTTATTTTTAAAAAGCTTGCTCCATTTTCCTTGAAAATTATAAGAAGCTCTGATAAACACTACTTAAAAAGCCACTTAACTATTCTGTATCTTTTCAATTTCATTAAAAAATTTATACTAAACCACATGTAAACTTTATTTTTAGATAAGAAAGTTTGGGCAAAATATTCCTCTATTAAAAAATAAAATACAAGACAAAACTATTATAGGTCATTATAAATATAATTTTCAATGAAAAATTTAAAGACTATTTGACTTGATGAATATAATATTTTAGAGTCTAAAACAACTTTTCATTTTCTTATAGATCCATACTATTCACAAGAACTCTGCTAAATCTTGGATGGCTTGAGATTACTTAACTTCTTCCTAAGCTTCCTCTTTTTAAAAATAGGCAGCAAAGAGTTGGGAAAATGTGTTGAAACATTTTGAGTTTTAATTTGTTTGTAAAGGTGTGTCTGTGCATCAAAAATTGTGTTCTTAATATACTGCCCAAAATAATTTTAATTTCATGTGGCTATTATTTGAATATCTTAATTTCTAAAATGCTCACAGAAATCCTTCCTCCTCCACATTAAGACAGTGTGACTATAACATTATGTTCTGAACTTTATGCATTTATTTTCTAATAAATTAACCCAGAAAGGCTCATGCTTTAATAAATAAAAGGAAAAGGCTGACCAACAGAGTGGGGAAAAACCCACTTTTTTCAATTCCATCCAATTTAGAGATGCTTATCAGCATATTAAAACATAGGTTCTTATAAAGTCAAGTGTATACTGGTTGGATTAGCATGATAACAACCCATTTTATCTTTTGTTTTCTTTAATATAGTGCTTATCAATTTACAAAGTACTTTCACAGTCACTGTGTCTCAAAGTATCCTCACAAACAACTCTCTTAGGTAGGACAGGTACTAGTACTGTAGTACCTTTCAATAGACAAGAAAATGGAGCTTCAGGAAGGCAAGAAGCTAGCACAAGGTCACGTTAATAACAGAATGGAGCCTAAAACCCATGTTTTTGTACTCCTAAAACACTTTGCTCTTTCTACTATGCTTCTAAAATGGACTTCTTTGCATATCACTTAAACACCAAATTAGCAAACCTAAGTATCCTAGGCTAATCTAAGGATAAAATCTTCCATCATCAACAACAACAAAAAATAAATAAACTGAAGAAAAAAGAGTAGAACTTTAATGTGTATTTGTAGTGAAAATTTCAAAAGCGTCAAAAACAAATTAGAAATTGAATGAAGACTATTATGAAATCTCTTAAGAGTCTGAAGAAATAACTGTGCTGCCTATTTCCTGTATAACAGTTTCAAATATAAAATACTTAGGTATAGAGTGGGTACAAAGAATTGTTTCAGGATACATGTGACAACCAGACACCAGATTTGGACACTGGATGATTTGAGAAATTCATTTTTTTTCCTATAATCAGGCAGTGTTTACTTTCGCTAACATTGGCTTGTAATAGCAAATGCTACTGTGTTGCTTAACAATTCCACCATTAGTAATAGTGTTCTATAAACTTGAATATGTGTGGCAGAAATTATTTCTCCTTTGTAAAGTTCTTTAAAAATAAGATGAATCTTGACTTTATGCATTATTTTCTAATATAAATCACCTAGAAAGGCATAATATAATCCATACTATGGTAAGAACTTCAGGTTTATAACTTAACTCAATTGTCTAACAACTTAGCACTTACCACAAGCATTAAAAAATTCAATCTGTAATAAAATCAATGAACTTAATTTTTCATATT